ACCCACCCTGGTGAGCTGCAAAGCATTGTGGGAGGCAGGCGCCTCTTTCAGGGCAAATTCCTCTGCAGCCTGGAGTTGGTGGGGGAAGCTGTCACAGCCTCACTTGTGTCCTGAGCCTTAGGCAATGGCCTTATGACAGGAAGGTGATTCTGGTTCTAGAGAGAAGACCAGATGAGGAGAGACAGCCTACAACCTACATGGCAATCCCGGGAGCAGAGGAAAAAGCTCACACTGAACAGGGTACCTCTTTGGAGAGGTATTAGTTGGTTTAGTTAGTTAGTTAGTTAGTTAGTTAGTTAGTTAGTTAGTTAGTTAGTTAGTTAGTTCTTTTAGAATGAAAGTGTTTATTTTGGCAGTTTGAGGGTGCAGCCCATCGTGAGGGGGATGACATTATAGCAGGAACATGAAGCTGGTGGTAAAATTTCCAGATCAAGGAGCAAAGAGATGAACCGCGGTGCTCAGCTGCTTCCATTTCACCCGGCCTAGGAACCCAGCCTTGGGTTATCCACAGTGAGTGAGTCTTCCCACCAAAAGAACACTAGTCAAGAAACTTTGTCACAGAAAAGCCTAGAACGTGCTGAGCGAGGGTCCTGTGGATTCTGGGTCCCATGAAGCTGACAGTATTCACCATCATTCCCGTGACCAATACAGGGCTGCTGGGCTGTAGCAACAATGCCAAGCTCTGCCATGTTCCTTCTCTTACTGTTGTCATTCTGAACAGCATTTGTGGATCTAGAGACAAGGCACAGGAGACACAGGGATGTCCAGGGATCTTGAACTTCAGCATTGATACCCATAGAAAGGACTTTCCGCCTGGGAGCCTTCTGAGGAGGCCAGAGCCTGGACAGGGATCGGAAGAGTACTCAGCGGGCTCTGGTGCCTCTATCCAACAAGCCTCAGAGCTCTAAGGAGGGAATTAGTGAGACAGGTTGCTGGTCTTCTGGGTTTAGATCCTTTTCCACAGCCTAAGCACAAAACACAAGGAAAGAGGGCAGTGAGGAAAGTCAATGCCTGTTGATCTTTAGTTGGGGGCAGGGAGGAGGTTAGGGGGAGGAACTAAAACTGAGATTTTCTTGGCCCTGGAGGAATAATCCCTCACGTGGGCAGCGTGGCCTGCTATGGTACTCACGAGGTCACCATGGACCAGAATCCTTTGTTTCCATTTCAAAATCTTACTGATTCAGCTCTGCAAGAGAAGGGGAGTTGTGTAAACCAAATGTTGGCTTCCACAGAGCTCTCATGGACAAGAGCTATATTTTGGAAATGTAAGTTTTATCCTGAGTCAAAAGCCAGAGAGCAGCAGTAACTGGTGTTGGCTCCTTCTACCTTTGTCTACGGTGACAACATCCACACTAACTGACAGACATCTGTCTGAGGTTTCCACCATGGGCCAGGCAAAAGAGCTTTCCTGCAGGCTGTCCTCTGGTGAGAATACAAGAAGTCTACTCTTGGCTTTCTTAGGAAGCACTTAGGAAGTATAAAACACCTACTGTCTACTAGTTGCTCAGTTCCCCAACACCCTGAGAAGTAAGCACTTCCCTCCCAGTTTGCCAATCCAGTAACAAAGGCTCTCTGAGGCCAGCAATCTTCTCAGTTCCATCAGTGGGTAACAGGTCGAGGCTTAACATCCATCCTGACCTACTCTGGACCTCTGTGCATTAACAAGTGCTCTGGACTAGTGGATATATCCTAGTTTCTATGAGATGACAATGTCTGAGACCTGCTTCCCAGGATATTTTAGTTAATGGACAATGATTGAAGCCCCCCATAGAAAAAGAGCTCAAAAGAGAAACCATGGGATCATGTCAAAAGGTGCAGAAAATGCCTTTGTGAAAATCTAACAACTTTTTGTGATAAAGACCTAAAGAGACAGAGATAGATGAATATACTTCCATCTAATAATGTCTCTATTTGACAACTTTATAATCAATGTTATCTTAACTTGGGGAAACTCAAGCATTTCCAGTAAAAATCAAGAGCGAGAAAAGGGTGCCACTTTCTCCACTCTTACCTACTACAGTCTTTCAAGTCTCAGCTGTAGACATAAGACATAACAATGAGATAACAGAAATACAAATGGAGAAGTCAAGCTATATGCAGCTAACATGATTCTCAATGTCCATAAGACACTAAAGAATCTTTTTGTGACATAAAGCTCCACAAAGTAGCAGGGTACACAAGTGTGTGTATGTGTGTGTGTGTGTGTGTGTGTGTGTGTGTACATTTTCTGTGTAGTGATAACAATTCTGTTGAGAAAGAAAGAGTCCCATTCAAAGGAACCTCAAGAAAATAGACTAAGTAAATAAGTAACTAACCTCAGAGTAAATTTAAACAAGGAGGTGAAACTTACTCAATGGAAAAAATTTTAAACATTGAATAAAGTTTTATTAGTTCAAGTGTGCTGTGCATTCATTTGACTTGAATTCTAGGAAGTCTTTAACCTCTTTATTTCTGCCTTGACCCAGGGTTTACTGAGCGGAGAGTTATTCAGTTTCCATGAGTTTGTGGGTTTTTTGTTATTCTGTTGTTGTTGAAATATAGCTATAATCTGTGAGGGTAAGATAGGATACAGGTGGTTATTTCAATTTTCTTGTACCCGTTGAGACTCACTTTGTGACTGAGTATGTAGCCAATTTTGGAAAAAGTTTGGTGAGATGCTGAGAAGAGAGTATATTCTTTTTTGTTTGGGTGAAATAGTCTCTAGACTTCTGTTCGGACAATTTGACTCACAACATCTGTTAGCTCCATTATTTCTCTGCTTAGTTTTTGTCTGGATGACCTGTCTATTGATGAGAGTAGTGTATTGAAGTCCCCCACTTTTAACGTAAGAGATTCAATGTGTGGTTAAAACTTTAGTAATGCTTCATTTACAAATGTCGGTGCCCTTGAATTTGGGGCATAGATGTTCAGAATTAACATTTTGTTTTTTGGTGCATTTTCCTTTGGATGACTATGAAGAGTAATTTCCCATCTCTTTCAATTGATTTTAGTTAGAAGTCTTTTTTTTAAGATATTCGAATGGCAACCTGAGCTTGCTTCTTGGTCCATGTGCTTGGAAAAAAATTTTCCTACCCTTTATAATTTTGTGGTTTGTCTATGTTCCACTGAAATAGAAAACAACAAAAGGATGGGAGGAACAAGGTGAAGCCAGGAAGCAGTTCATTGTATGGGAACAACAGACCCAGGGGACATCAGTCCAAAAGCTGAGTCCCAAATTAACTTAAACAAGGCTTTTCAAGCCCCCTGTGTTGCCATGTCCCCTTGAATAGCAATCTAGATGACATGTTTGATTGGCTTATTAAACTTCCTTATTACACTCTGATAAACTATCTCATTAGTATAAATGTTTCCCCAAGCAACAGACTTTATCCCAATCTATTTATAGCAGAAATAAAAGGAGGAGGAATTTGGTTTTAGAAGAAATGTAGTGTAAAGTGTTGAACCTCAAGGGAGCTGGCCACTGGTGCGGGTCTTTCCTGTTTTCCAGGGCACCATACCTCGGTTACCAGCGCTGGAATAAACTGCCTTGCACCATAAGACTGAACGAGGTCCTATGCCCTGCAGAGGCTGTGTTTGGGTCAAAAGCTCTGATAACTCTGAGAATTTTAAATCTGGCTGTTGTTAGCATTGCTGTATACGTCACATGTGCTTCTTGCACAGAATTCTGTTCTGGAAGTTCTGTGTATAATTCCTTTCTTTCTGGAGTGTATAACATTTATGGCCAGAAATGTCTCCTTATTTAATTTTCAAAATAGTTATAACACAGGAAATTGAATTATTGAAATGTGTTAGATGTGATTACATCCTACAAAACAGTGTGAGCTGTGCATGGCCATGATGCATGAGAACCACCTCATAGGACTCCCTTAAAGACTCATTGAGGATAAGATAAAATAAGATAAAATAAAATGAAACAAAAATGCCCTGATCATATCACAAAAGGGATGCAGTTTAATTTTCTCCTACATGTTTGTTACCACAGAGGTTAAAGTAAATAATTTTAACAGAAAAAAAAACACTACTTTATATTTTCATGTACGCCAAAGCACGTGAACACCATGCCATGACTGACAGTTCTGATGCCAGTGTATTGGGTCCTCTTATAAAGAAATGTGCCCATCAATGAACATTAAAACATTTATGTCCTCCCACACATAGACCTGAAAAAGTTAGCAACATGTTTTTCAGTGCTCGTAAACACAAAAGGGCTGACTGTGGCATAGAGATGGACCACAAAGAATTGGATAGAGTAAGATGTTGCATCATTCATATACATAGTTCTTGAGCAGGAGATAAAGCCATCCAAGACAGACATCAACACGAAGAAGCTCATGAGCAGAAGGATGGTCCTGTTTGCTCTTTGCTCTGGGGATGCTTTTGGAGAAAGGCTGGTGCTGTGAAGATGCAGGGCCTGCTTCCTGTGCCTGCACAAGAGAGCCACCATGTACCAAGTCGAGATGACCATGAGACTAATAAGAAAGGCTTCCCTGATGGCCAGCAGTGTAGAAAATGTGCTTTTCATGAGATAACTCATGGGTAGGCGAGAACAGAATCTACTAACAAACATGAAGTTGTTTGAAGTCAAATTGGGAGTGGCAACAATCGATACTAAGAAGTGACTGCTAGTGAGCATATAGAGGACACTCAGCAAAAGAAGGGCACATGAGATGTAATGGCGAGATTTGTGCTTGAACTTGGCTAGACAGGAGCTTCTGGGACTGAGGGTGATGGCCTGGAAGACACTTAGCAGGCTGGTGGTACAAAGGGAGAGGCCCCTCCAAATTCTGTACAGGTAGACAATGAGTTTACATATGGTGTCATCCCATCCCCTCAAAGAAATAAAGATGTCCATGGCTATGAATGCCATGAACATTAACATCAGTAGGTGGATTAGGGTCAGCAGACCAATGAGCATGTCAGTGGGTCTGGGCCTGTGCCCACCAATGAACTTGAGGATGTAGAAGAGAAGAAGGAAGCTGTTGGCTGAGATACCAATGCCAATTTCAGAGAAAAAGGTGTTTCTTATGTCAGAAGAGTGTGAAGTCATCTTGTGTAGAAACAAAGTGTGGCTGAGGAGAAAAGTAAAACAATGACTCACCATGAGCAAAACCTCACACACCACTCCAGACCAGTCTTCTGGCCTCAGGAAAACATGCAGATGCTCATGCATGCTTATTCCACTGAATACCTCAATTCTAACTCCTACCCCACAGACCATCCTCCTGCTTTCACTTGTCCTAAGCTGAGCCATGGCTGGACCCTGTGTCCCATGGTGGCTGCACCATTGTGTGAGCTCCCTCAACATTAAAAACTGCACACAGTAGCAATTATGTGCTTTCATGTTTTGCAGGTTTGGGTTTTATTGGAGCAGGAGAAGCATAGTACTTGCTTTTCACTCACAACATCTTAATTTCCACGCACATTATAGATAGAGTCTTACTATTTTGGGTGGAGGCTGAATGAGGAAGATTGCATAAAAGAAAAAAAATCAGATCTTCCCAATAAAAGCGGTCCCATGAATTGGGTGTGCACTTATTCTATTCAGGGCTATCTGTACTCTATTGACAGTCCAAATTTTTTAGAAAAATTCTATAGCAAATGTTGGGGGTTGTAATCTATGATCCAGGTGTTTCTGATCTGCTGTTTCCTCCAAGTGTGTCCTTGAATACTCTGAGGTGGGCCAGCAGTCACTCCCTCTTGAACATGTGGACAGCAGTGTGCTTATTTCAGAGTGACACTGGGTGAGCAAGAACATGCTGTTTACACACCAAACATGGAAGAGTTTCAGCACATGATGGTCTCTGTGGATGTGTCCATGGCAGCTTTCTCATACAATGCTTTATGTTTGTGCTCTGGTAGAGTTCAGAAAGCTCATAATGACTGTTCAGTGAGGTTGCTGCCTGAAACAGAGAAGATAAAAGACAAATCAGAAAAAAGTAGCACGTTGACACAGAGTCCTTTTAGAGAACTCTGGTAGACAATTCAGTCTTTGATCGCTGCTCTGTACCTGCATCTTGCATGGTACAGAGGTCTGATCTCCTTCCAGACCTGCTCCAAGAGAAGGGCAGAGTGGGCAAATGACAGCAGGAGCATAAGCCATGTCTTTTTTCTACAGCGTGTGAAGTCAGAGAGTAAATAGAACTACAGTTATAACAGACTTAGAACTGTCCCATATTACAGAATTAATTAAAAAAATGGTCCAACTCAGTCTTGAAAGGCAGACTCCATAGGAGTCAACATTTCCTCTCTCCATAATGGAGCTGTGATACTTCTCCAGATACCTGATATGCTGGCTCCAAGTTTATATTAATAAGTGTGGTATACATGCTGTTGAATTATTGCAGTTTCTTTGATTTAGACACAGACTAAATACACCACCATGACCAAAACCAAATTGGGTTGGGAAGCCTTTATTTCATCTTGCAGTTGATAATCCATTATGCAAGGAAGCTGGGGAAGGACTTGAGGCAGAAACCCGGGCAAGAAGTGAGGCAAGTCTCACAGAAGGATGCTACTTACTAGCTTGGGTCTCATGGTTTTCTCGGTCCGTGGTCTTAAGTACCCAAAACCCTGAGCCCAGAGTCTACACCCACAGTGATTCGGGCCCTTGATCATCAAGCAAGAAAATGCATTACACACTTGCCCATAGGCCAAACTAGAGGGGTCATTTTCTCAACTGAGGTTCCCTTCCCAAATGAGTCTAGCTTGTGTTGATTTAACAAACAAGAGACAAAAACAGCTGCCACAGTTGACCTCCTGTCTACATGACACTGAACACATCTCTGTTGCACTATAACTTTGTTTCTCAAATTTGTTGTTCCCAAGATATTAAACTAATATCAACATTGCAATATAAAAGTTCCATTTTTTTAAAAGTTCAATCTCTCAAGTCTGTTTCAACATTCAAAGCCTCTGCAATAGTCAAGTCTCTAAAACATCTTGTTTCTCTAACATTTTCAAAGTCTCTCTAAAAAACCCATGGTCTCTCTAGAACTCCAAACTCACTGTAAATCTCCAAAATCCCTTTAAGAGTTCAAAGTCAAGAGACTTTGTGGGTTCCTGTAAAATAAAAATAAATAAGTATTTTCATATGTAAAAGGGAAGAACCAGGGCACAGTCACAATCAAGTTCAACAAAGTCCAACAGCGTAACTCTCAGTGCCAGACTTCTGGCACTCACCAATGATCTTCTGGGCTCCTCCACAGTGCTGGCAAAGCCTTCCACAAGCTTCTCTCCTAGGTTCAAACTGGCCTTGCCCCACAGCAGCTGCTGCTGGCATGTGATACTGACATCTCCAAATGGCTTGGCTCTGCACTGCAAAGGGGCAGAGCCTTCATCAGTGACCTCTTGGCTCTCTTCAGGGACGCTAACACAGTTGTATAATGCAAAGTCACAGCTTCACTCTATGGTCCCTCCATGTTTCAGAACCAGTACCACCTGAGAAACTCTTTGTTTATTTGTTTGTTTGTTTGTTTTTGACACAAGATTTGTCTGTGTAGCCTTGGCTCTCCTGAACTACCTCCCTACACCAGGTTGGCCTTAAACACCTGAGAGATTCCTGAGCTACTAAGTTTGGCTACCAGCAGGAAATGTATCCTCAACAGTAGTTAGACCACAGTGTCTGTGTGCTGAAGCTGAGAAAATACTTCAGAAGATTTTATTTGTTCTTGCAAGGCAAAGGTTTCATTTTAGTAGTTCTTTTTTTAAAATTAAATTTTAATTTTTATATTAGTTAGTTTATTTACTTTGTATCCCAGCTGTAGCCCCCTCCCTCATTTCCTCCCAATCCCACCCTCCCTCCCTCACCTCCTCCCTGCCCCTCTCTAAGTCCACTGACTGCTTGAACCTAGCTTATCAGATTTCTTCAGGATTGGCTGAAATGTCCTCCTCTGTGTCCTAGCAAGGCTGCTCCTCCCTCAGGGAAGGAGGGAAGGTCAAAGAGCCAGCCATTGTGGTCATGTCAGAGATAGTCCCTGTTCCCCTTATTAGGGTACCCTCTTGGATACTGAGTTACCATTGGCTCCATCCAAGCAAGGGTTCTATGTAATATCCATGCATGGTCTTTGGTTGGAGAAACAGTCTCAGAATAGACCTCTGTGCCCAGGACAGGAGACTACCACAGAGTGTCTCTGAAATACTCTGCCTAGCAGTGTATCAAAGCAGATGTTGAGACTCATAACCAAACCTTGGGAAGAGTGCAGGGAATCATATGAAAGAAGGGGGAGTTAGTATGACATGGAGAGGACAGGAGCTCCATAGGTCCAAACATTTAATGGTTCTTAACTCAAAATATGAGTGACTCTCATAGAATCTTTAAGGGACTCTCAAACCTCCCTATGGAAGTAGATAAGACAAGCCTCCATCATCTGCTCTGCTCTCAGCACTACATTCTAATATCACACCAAATAATCCACTGGAGTGTCAGCACTCTATGTATTTTATAGCCCAAAGTTTCAAAACCTTTCCACAGTTCTCCAAAACCCCAAGGTCAGGTCTGTCATAGTCATACCTCCCGACGTAGTACCACTTTCTGTCTTTTCAGGGTTTCTGTTGCTGTGGGGAGAGGAGGGATTATTTCGCCACACAGTTTGTAGTTACCCAGCCAGGGAAGCTAGGAGAGAACTCAAGACAAGGACCTGGAGGCAGGAACTGATGGAGAGGCCATGGAGTAGTGTTGCTCACCAGCTTGCTCCTTAGAGCTTGCTCAACCTACTTTTTGTAGCACCTGGGCCCACCAGGCAGGGATGGCACTGTTCACAGTGAGCATGGCCCATCCATATGAAATCAACATCAATCAACAATTGTACCAGGTGCTTGCCCACAGGCTGGTCTGGTGAGGATGTTTCCTCAACTGTGGTTCCCTCTTTTAAAATATTTCTAGCTTGTTTCACGCTGTCATAAAACTTTCCAGCACAGACAACATGCACGCAGAAGATGTAATTTTGTAAACAAATTCCTGTGACATCGTAAAAACTTATCAATGAAAGTCAATTGTGTGGGTGAAATTGTTTTATACTTATTTAAACCATGTGACATTGTCACCACAACTGGAAATCCTACTGGCATGTGCCAACCATATGACATTATTGTAGAAGATATTAAGGGCAGGCAAAGAGGATAATACTTCACAAGTACAGGGTACCATGTCAGGATTTAGACCCGAAGCAGATGGTTGGTGAAAACACTGAATAAAGCAAATTTTCTGAAATAAAAGTTCTGTAGCATCATTAGAAAAGGTTAATCCTTTATTAGATTATGAACCACGTACTCCAGATAGCAATAGAGTGTTGATTAAATGAGTGGTGCTTAATTATTCTTTTTTAATTTTTTATTTTACTATTTACACTTTATTCATAATTATTCTTTATAAACTTATGGGTTTGTTTTCCAAATCTCAGTCACAAGAAACAGAATACAATAGGTTGGGGGCAGTTCCATTTTACAATGATCAGATAAAATGGCAGTTGTCTCTACTTTGAACAACTCAGACATTGGAATTGTGCTGTGACAGCCCAGGAAAACAATGGAGAGACTGATGGGGCTCCATTGTTTCCAAGCTTTATTTACAGCTTTTTAAAATTATAAACTACATTTACAAATGTCATCGGAAGCACACACTCTGAGTGTCATTTTATGGTCTCTGCATTGAGTGGCAGGTGTATGTTCTATACTTATTTCATGGAAGGAAAACACACCTGTAGATTTTAACTAATAATTTGCATTGCATGTGTATTAGCACTGGCTAACTAAGAAGCAAAAGAGTGCTAAAATGCTTTTTCTCATGTCGTTTCTGGAAATGCACATTTTTTTTTCTTTAATTACACTGAGCTAACAAGAAAAGAAAGAAGAAAACGGAACTTGGTCTCTGTGAGCACATCACACTATCAGACTGCCTAGGCAGTGAGCTGTCAGCTCTGCAGAGCAGGGCACAGGCTGAGCTGTTTTCAGCATCTCTTCAGGAACCACAGCCCTACAAACCTAAAGCTCTTAAGAGAGTAAGGCAGCCACAGAGACAGTGAATCCTCTGTGATATTCTTTTCTTTTTTTAATGTCATTTTTTCTTATAATTTTTATTTTATATATTAATCACAGGTTATTTACTTTGTATCCCAGCCATAGCAACCTCCTTCATTCCCTCCCAATGCCACCCTCCCTTCCTCATCTGCCTGCAACTTTCCAAGTCCACTGATAGGGGAGGACCTCCTCCCCTTCCATTTTATCCTAGCTTATCAGGTCTCTTCAGGACTGGCTGCAATGTCCTCCTCTGTGGCCTAGAAGGCTGCTCCTCCCTCAGCAGGGGATGAGAGGAGTCAAAGAGCTAGCCATTGAGTTCATTTCAGAGACAGTCCCTGTTTCCCTTACCAGAGAACCCACTTCGATACTGAGCTACCATGGGCTATATCAGAGCAGAGGTTCTAGGTTATATACATACATGGTCTTTGATTGGAGAAATGGTCTCATGAAAGATCCCTGTGCCCTGATATATTTGGTCCTTGTGGAGCTCCTGTCCTCTCCAGGTCTTACTAACTTCCCCTTCTTTCATATGATTCCCTGCACTCTGCCAAAGGTTAGGTTATGAGTCTTAATATTAACATCATGGCTTCAGGGATTCCTGATTTGAAACCACTTATGTCCAGAAAGTGGAATTCCACAGTAGCGAAAGAGAAAGCATACAGGCTTGCCAGGAGGGACAGACATGTCTCTAGTCATCCAAATATCTACAGATGACATGCACTGACAGCTACATCAAAATCTTATACAATAAGGACCAGTAAGGCATGCATATTCCAGGCAGATTATAATTTCTATAAAAAAACCATCTGGCAAGCATTCCTCTCCTCAGGAACAAGCCACAGGGAATCCTCTAGGCTGTCTCTTCCCAGCTGAGCCTCAACAGCCCATCTGCATAGCTGAGTATGGTGTAGGAAACCAGGAGATAGGACCCACACTCTCAGACCTGCAGAATGGGTTAAGGGCCACCTCATCCAACCGAGAGGACAGGACCGAGTAAGCTGTGCCCAGCCTGGGATAGCCTGTTGTAACACGTACTATGATTGCACTTTACGCAATGCAACAAAATAGGCTGCTTCCTAGAGGCAGGAAACTCTGTACATGGCACCAGGAAAACTCACCGACCTGTAAAATAGGTCCCATTAGAAGAGGCTATATTGGAGAATAGGAAGGGAAGGCATTTGGGCAGATTAGGAAAATAAAACATGTACAGAGCAAAAAATGAACAAGAGGAACCTGAGAGACCCTCAGTTAAAGCCAGTTGTGAAGGCTACAACTGCTCAAGAGGTGGGGGGACGAATTGAACTCCCTGTACTGCAGGAATTCAAGCCATGACTTTAGACTGTGTCAGCCCACAATTACCCAAATCATGGACAACTCACAGTCCATACCATCAGCACATAGAAGGGGTTATTGGAGACACTGTCCCTGCTCAATGAAAATGGCTGGAATTTACTAAGTCAGGATGTCTACCTTTGGCACAATCCTAACTTTAAAACTAGGAAGACAGTAGGGAGAAATGGCCGGTACTCCAGGGAAGGCAAAACCTTTACCAAGCATATGCCAGCGCTGTTTCCAGAGATGCCAGAAATAAATGAACTGTGGTAATGTTATAGGCAAATCATAAAGAGCTTTTTGGTTAAGGAATCACAGCTCTGTCTGAAAGCCGGTCTGAGAACTGTGTTTTTCAACTTTGAAGTGTTTGTACAGCATCTCTGGGCTCAGAGTGTCAGTGAGGCTGTACCCCAGGCTTTCCAAATCAGCCTCCAGAAAGAGCAAGAGTGGATGTCCCTGAGGGGCAGCATGGCACAGACTCCAGCCACAAACACTGGACCCCACACAGTGCTGCAGCACAACCTGCTCCCCCAGGACACAGGGGAGCCTCAGGAGAGGTTTGGCTTTGCTGCTAAGAGCTGTGACCTCCGTCCCAGTGTGCTCATTGCCTCAGTGACAGGAGTGGGGGGTCAGTTCCTGTCCATCATTCCACATAGTTTCATGAAAAGATGAGCTTTGGGATAAGTTTGGAAATGAAATAAAAACAACAGGACAGGGTGAGGGGTTTCAGTTCTCCAAAGTTTCCTCAAAGAAAAAAAGATTCACGTTTTTCTATCATGAAAAAAATTGCACAGCGTACATGGGGAGAACATAGATAAAAGACAAAATATGCAACCACCTCTTCCCAGGATTCCTGTTCTCAGTGAGTCAGGGAGTGGAATCTGCCACTGTCACTGTGCATTAATAGTTAGTGTCCTGGCAACCTCATCATCATAACCCCTTAGTGACAATTCCAACCAGGCCAGGAGAAGCTAATGGATGACACCACTAAATTGTGATCTCTGAACTTGAGCTGAGAAAAATAAAGGCCATGAGCAAACACTAGAAGGCACATTGCAGTCCGGTGGGGCCTCCCTCTGTGGAATGAGATTTTGAATCTACAGCCTCATTTACTTACAGAGACTTTGGAAGATTTTATACCTCACAGCACAGAAGATGTTACATTAAAACAGTTCTGTGCACACCTAAGTTACAGATACACAACCGAGGAAAGTGAGCTCTCCAGACCTATTAATTCCCTGATAATTTGTCTTAGGAATAGGTAAATCAGCAAAAGAAATGTAACTAAACAGATTATCCAGGTATACAGTGGGAATTACTTAGTTCCCAGGAATGAACATGCATTCTGTAGTAATTTGAAAGTCTATAAATTAAGGAAATGAGTATGTTAAGAAGAAAACGTTCTTGTTGCCCATGCAGAACACAGTCCCTTGTGCTGAAGGTCTGTCAGAGCTCAGAGTCTCCTCTGTAGCTGCTGAAAACCCCTCTTTAGCCTCCTCCTCCCACAGCCTTCCTGGGTCCCTACCACCTTCTGAATTTGCTCTTGGGTGCTGAGCACTTACCCAGATGGACATGGCAGGGGAGGACTCTGCGCCTGAGGAGATCCTGCACAGCTTAGGTGAAAGGAGAATTTAAGGCCTCTCTGTGACATGTTATTTCTGTGTCTGTAGAAGGTGACACGTTCCTGCTGGGGTCATGGAGACCCGGCATCCCAGTGGAGCATCTTCTCTGCTTGTTGATCTTACTCCCTGTGTCCTGATAACAGCCATCTGGGGACGGCTGAGAACAAACTTTATCTGAGCCTCCTTGCCACACCTGCCGGAGTGATCAGAAAGTTTGCACCAAACAAACAACAGTATCTTTTCTCACTTTACACCTTAGGCTTAATTTTGAGCAATTTCTCCACTGTACTGCCTCTCTTCTGAGATGCAGAACTCTTGGTCCTCCAATGATTTACATGCCCACTTGAGGGTCCTTCTACAGTCTGTGATAGACAGCCTCTCCCCAGGTCAGTCTTCCCAGGGAGCACCTGCTTTATTGATGTATTTTCCATTTTATCCAAACTCCTAGATGCAGGATTTTAGCTGTGAGTGAAATCTGAAGGTGAATTGTGAAAGAAATCAGATGGAATGCAGAGAGCTCAAGGCAGAGCTGGAGAGCCAGGGTGACCACAGGCAGATGGGACCCAGCTGAGTCTGAGGACAAGCTGAGCTCTAAAGTCTGAATAAAGGGATGACTCCAGAGGTGGAGCCAGGAGGATTAAAGGCTAGCCTGGCTACTATGACATTCTCATTTACAAAAAGGAATCAAGTATAATGTTTTCAGGTGGGTGATTTACATTAAGGACATTAGAATTAGAAGAGAAGACTTTAAACATATAAACCTCCTGTCATGTCAACAATTAAATATATAGCATAGATGGAAACATGATTCTAGAGAGAACTGGAAAGTCAGAGATATTGAATGTTCTTTCATTTTTAGTCAGGGTCTCCCCATGTAGCCCTGGCTGGCCTGGAACTCTCTATATACACCAGGCTTGCCTTGAACTCACAGAGCTCTGCTGACTTCTGCCCCTGCCCGCAAACTAAGTGCTCCCACACTAAAGTCATGTGTCCACACATTTGGACCTGTTCATGTGTTCACATGTTTGTTTTAACAGTTTATTAATTTCTCCCCATTTTCTTCATCTTTATGTATCTGTAAATATTCCCTCCCTTTAAGTCATTCACAACATTCAATTTTGCTAGCATATAGCCTGCCATCATCATTTCTGACAAAGCCAGCATGTATAAAGGATGTGTCATAATTTTCTCCAGCTGTCCTGCCTACATTACCTAGTTCTTAAGTCATTTCTTTAAATGATCCTAAAGGCTAACTTATGAGATCTGCACATGGACAGTGACATCACTGCTCATGGTTATGAGTGTGCTTTGATTTGTAACATCTCCCCAAATTGCTCTTTTGATTTGGTGAGTGACAAATGAAACTGTCATTAGTATAGAAAAGCCCACTTGAATCAGAGGCTTACATTTGATTTCACTTTATAAGTAATCAGAATATTGTAAGCTCACACTTTTCTGGCATTAGTTGAGGTCAAAGCTGTGTTATGTTCCATGTCTTATTCTGCATTTACACTTAGGAGGTTTTCTCTATCTGCGTCTCTGTCTGTCTCTCTGTTTGCTGTCAGTCTGCTGTCTATCTGTCTCTCTCTGGTGTGTGTGTGTGTGTGTGTGTGTGTGTGTGTGTGTGTGTGTTCATGATATCCAAAACAAAGAGGCCAGCACCCAATTGTAAATTTACTTTTAAAAATGGCAACCCAGGCCAAGTATCCATACGTGACCTCCCAGCGCTGTCACAGGTGCCCATTCAATGGAAAAATGTGTGAAGGAAAAATTGGAAAGATGGAGTACACGGTAGAAAGATGAAAGAGAAAGTGAAGTGGAGGGGTTTATACACTGTAGAAAAAGGTGGAAATGGAGACTTAATGGCAGTGAGGAACAGACATCCACGAGGAAGCCAAGGTTAGGTCCTTCTGCAGCTGAGGTCTTTGTCTATGTTTGTAGCCTAAGTTACCAACAAAGGCCAAGTGGATGTCAGGGTTAGGGCTGCCACTGAAGACCATGTGATTGTCTGAAGGATGTGCTGCTGAGGAAGACATAATGATCAGAATGGCCTCCACTGCCATCTGAGGCCATGGGGACATGTGCACCTAAGCTGCTGCCAGGAGCCAAGTCTGGGTCCCTGGTCCTATGGCAGCCAGGTCTGTTCATGCCCCAAGCCCATGTTTCCACCAAAGGCCATGCAGATGTCCCTGGTCTGGAATGCGACCTGAAGCACTGTTCTGACCTAGCTCCACCCCTCAAAGGCCACCACACTGGGAGAGCTGGGCCTGCCCCTGTTCTGCTGTGGGATGGCTTGGGCAAGGAAGAGATGCCCTCCCCACACCTCACAGGTCACCCCTCACCAGCTGTAGCAGGTGGGAGACCTTGCCCCACGGTCATGAGAGCAGGAGAGTTGTCTCTGCCTCTCCCCAGTTGCAGCACTCAGAAGAGTGGGCCCTGCACCTCACCTGGGCAGCACAGCACAGCTGGCCCTGGTGGTGAAGGCATGGGTGATTTGGCCTCAAGAGCATGAGAGCAGTAGAGCTGACCTTGCTCCTTGCCGGCTGCAACACTGGGTGAGGAATCCAGGGCCATGCTGGGCTCACCCTGGGGTGTGGGTGCAGGAGAGCTGGTGGCTCACCAACTCACCTACCACCCAGGCAGATCCACAGCTTTGAGTTGGTCCACCCCAACACCTGCCCTTCTGTGACCTGCAGGAGAGGATGAAAGGGCCGGTCCTGTAGATCCAAAGCTGCTGATCTCCAAAGACACCGGGCAACAAGAGGGCATTCGAGAGAAGTCCACAGGTGGATGCAGTCTTGATTGTGTAGCAGAAGCCAGAGGCTTCAATCCAGACCCATGACTCATTGCAGTGGACATAAGCAAGTAAAGAAAAGATGCCACACTACAGCTTCCACAGCAAATCTTTTCATTTTATTTTATTGCATTTTTTTTTATGTGGAGGGAGAGGTTGCAAGGGTGCAGGGTGGAAACCAAGGAACAAAGACATGAGTTGGAATGGGGCCCATGATGGAAACATCAGAAAGAATCAATTAAAAGTTTTCTTTTAAGAAAGAAGTGACACCCTGAAAGCTAAATGACCATATTGATATGAAGAGCATTTCTACGTAATAGGACATAAGTCTTATTAGTTCATGATCTCTTACAGAGTTGCTCTTTTGAAACATTAAGGGACATATGATTTTCAATCACTGATGTAAAATTACAGGGCTGGGTATGCTTTATGTTTGGTTGTTTTTTCCACATAACGAAAGAAAAAGCCCACAAGTTACATACCAACACTTGTTTTCAAGCTAGGTAATTTTCCACGTTTAATCTGCTTTCATTTATGGCTCTGACTGACTTTAAAACATCTCATCCAGAAGGTAATACCTTGATGCCAACGCAAGTTGGGAAACTCTTCCAGAGTGGAAGAGGACCTTCCTAAGAGCACTGCTTAACTGAAGGAATTCTCTGCTTTCATGGGAAACCTGAGGCTAAGAGTCAGAGCATTAGGAAATAACAGTTGATCTATTGCTTGAGGCAAATTTACCTTAAGGACTTTAAACTGTTGAGAAATGACAGCTTGATACTTTTAGAATACTTTTATTTTTAATTGCAGAGGCAATGCTTTTGAAACATGTTTAAACTAACTGTTCACATTTTCATAATGAGGAAATGGACTTGAGATATACAGTTCCCTTCTGAATATTGGGGACATACACTTGGTGAGAACACTCATATTATTGGCCAGCCAGAGCGCGTGCCTCTGCCAACTCCACCAGCAAATCTTCCACAATGCGTATGTTCTTGAAAATCTAGAATAACATTCTGATTTTGTTCACGTAGGTTACTCTGATTCCTGTCATCTACAAATGGATTCATACAATGTCTGCTCCTGTGTGACTGAAATTTCACTTTGCTAAGTAGATTTGGGGCTCATGGGCATTGATTCATGTGCAGGTGTCTGCTCCTTTCCAAATACTAAATAACAGTTCACTCATGCCCAGGCCACAATGGTGTTCCTGTGTTCAGATAGTTCTAGATTTTAGGTTATTGGAATGCTGAAAATTTGTCATGAGCATTGTATTTTACATGGCTGTTTTTTTTCTTTAATGTCAATTTTTTAAATTTTTATTAGTTATAATTTATTCACTTTGTATCGCCCCATAAGCTCCTCCCTCCTCCCCTTCTAATCTGAAGGGTGTTGTATTCATAATTTCTTTCTCAGCCTTTTGTCTTTTGTGTACATGAGGACTACTGATATTTTTGAGTTAATTTTGTATCTGGCCACTTCGCTGAAGGTGTTTATCAGCTGTAGGAGTTCCCTGGTAGAATTTTTGGGGTCACTCAGGTATACTATCATATCTATCATACTATCATAGTGATAATTCAACTTGTCCTTTCTAATTTGTATCCCCTTGATCTCCTTCAACTGTCTTATTGCTCTAGCAAGGACTTCCAGAACTATGTTGAAGAGATATGGAGAGAGTGGGCAACATTTCCTTGTCCCTGATTTCAGTGGGATTGGTTTAAGTTTCTCTCCATTCAGTTTGTTGTTGGCTATAGGCTTGCTGTATATAGCCTTCACAATGTTTAGATATGTGCCTTTTATCTCTGATCTATCCAAGACTTTAAACATGAATGGATGTTGGATTTTGTCAAATGCTTTTTCAACATCTAGGGAGATTATCATGTGTTTTTTTTTTCTTTCAGTTTGTTAATATGGTGGATCACATTGATGGATTTCCATATATTGAAACCACCCTACATACCTGGGATGAAGCCTACTTGTTCATAGTGGATGATATCTTTGATGTGATCTTGTATTCGGATTGCAAGTATTTTGTTGAGTATTTTTGTATCAATGTTCATAAGGGAGATTGGCCTGAAATTCTCTTTCTTTGTTGGGTCTTTGTTTGGTTTAGGTACCAATGTGACTGTGGCTTCATAGAATGATTTTGGTAATGTTCCCTCTGTTTGTATTTTGTGGAATAGTTTGAAGAGAATTGGAGTTAGCTCTTCTTTGAAGGTCTGGTAGAATTCTGTGCTGAAACCATCTGGTCCTGGGCTTTTTTTGGATAGGAGACTCTCAATGACAACTTCTATTTCCTTAGAGGATATGGTACTAGTTAATTGATTTACCTGGTCCAGATTCAGCTTTGATAAGTCGAATCGATCAAGAAAATTGTCCATTTCATGTAGGTTTTCAAATTTTGTGGCATACAGACTTTTGTAGTAAGTCCTAATGATTTTTTGGATTTCCTCAGTGTCTGTACTTGGGCCCCTCTTTTCATTTCTGATTTTGTTGATTGGGATGTTGTCTCTCTGCCTTTTACTTAGCTTGGCTAAGGGTTTGTCTATTTTGTTGATTTTCTCAAAGAACCAGCTTTTGGTTTCATTGATTCTTTCAGTTGTTTTATTTGTTTCTAATTGATTGATTTCAGTCCTGAGTTTGATTATTTCCAGCCATCTATTCCTTTTAAGTGTGTCTGGTTCTTCTTTCTCTAGGGTTTTTAAGTGAGCCATTAAGTTGCTTGAATGAGATGTCTCGAATTTCTTCTTGAAGACACTTAGTGCTATGAACTTTCCTCTTAGCACTGCTTTCATTGTGTCCCACCAGTTTGGGTATGTTGTATCTTCATTTTCATTGAGTTCTAGGAAGACTTCAATTTTTTTTTCTTTATTTCTTCTCTAACCCAGCTGTCATTTAGTAGCAAGTTGTTACATTTCCATGTGTTTGTGGGCATTTGCTATTTCTCTTGTTGTTGAGGTCCATCGTTATTCCATGGTGGTCAGACAGGATACATGGGATTATTTCAATCTTCTTGTATCTGTTGAGGCTTGCTTTGTGACCAACTATATGGTCAATTTTGGAGAAGGTTCCATGAGGTGCTGAGAAGAAGGTAAATTCTTTTGTGTTTGGGTGTAAGTTCTGTAAGTGTCTGTCAGGTCCATTTGTTCATGAGCTCTGTCAGAGATATTGTTTCTTTGTTTAATTTCTGTTTTGTTGACCTTTCCTTTGTTGAGAGTGGGTTGTTGAAGTCTCCCACTATTAATGTGTGGGGATCTATGTGTGGTTTAAGTTTTATCGATGTCTCATTTACAAATGCAGGTGCTCCTGTATTTGGGGCATAGATGCTCAGGATTGTGATGTGTTCTTGTCGGAATTTTCTCTTCATGAGTATGAAGTGTCCTTCCCCATCTCTTTTGATAATTTTGGTTGAAAGCCTATTTTATCAGCTATTAGAATGGCTACTCCTGCTTGCTTCTTGGGTCCATTTGCTTGGAAAGCCAAGTTCCAACCCTTTACCCTCAGGTAATGTCTATTTTTGTGACTTAGGTTTGTTTCTTGTATGCAACAGATTTCTGGGTTTTGTTTACACATCCATTCTGTTAGTCTGTGTCTTTTTATTGGACAATTGAGTCCATTGATGTTGAGAGAGATTAATGACCAGTGGCTGTTAGATCCTTTGATTTTGATGTTGGCTTTGGTCATAAGGTTGTGTGTTTGGTTGCTTTTTCTTTTAATGTAGTGAAGTTAGTTATTTTGTGTTTTCTTGAAAGTAGCTAGTTTTCTTGTGTTGTATTTTCTCTTCTAGTGTCTTCTGTAATGCTGGATTTGTGTGTAGGTATTGTTGAACTTTGTTTTTGTCA